TCTTAAACTATTCTTTTTCTTCCTTCTCCTCCTTTCATAACAATCTTTCCTCTTAATCCTTTCTTTCTCTTCCTTTTCCTCCTTTCATAATAATCTTTCCTCTACAATTTTCCCTTCCATCTCCAATAATTTTCTTTGATAATACTATTAGTCCCCTCCTACCCCTCCCCCTGCTACAATTTCCGCTATCTTTAATTGGTTCCGCCTATATAAATGATACAGTGCGGAAGTAAAGAAAACTGGAAGAATGCTACTCCGTCCTACTCCGTCTGATTTATGACTGCAGTTCTCTGAAAGAACTCGTCTTTGCTCCAGTTCTTGCAAAGAAGAGTGAGACACTACATCTAGAGATACATTACATTTTACAGGTTTTACGCCTCAACAAATAGATTTTATACTCTAGATAAATAGTGCTCTCTTCTCTCTTCTCTCTTCTCTCAATTAACAAAATGTTTCAGCCTCTTTCAGAACTTAAACCAAACCAAATTATCTAAATCAGAAAACAAAGGTCTATCAATTACTCGCGTGTTAAACACATGTTATAATAAACAGCGGTTTTAGGACATGTTCTTAAAATATAAATGAAACTTATGCGGTACATTTTCATTTCCTTCATGTTCCTGTAACAAAGAATTTGATACAACCCGTCCTAAACTGAACACAAAATTAAGTGTTCTCGTTTTTTCAAAAGTTCTGCCTATTTATTAAATTTATTTGGTTTAATTTAGTTGGGGAGTTCTGGTTAAGATCCCTTAAATAATGTTCAATACAACATTTTCGCCCAAAACAGGGCAAAGAAAACCTGGTCGTGGACTGGAGTGCTTTTTAACCGTTGTTTTTTACAGTTTTTATTCGGCTTTTAAAGGACGTTCGCGAAAAATTTAAGGAGGTATACAGGCTGACGTATATTGATCCCTACTATACCCCCTTTCATTTTTCGCGAACACTCCCTTTAAGTGGCCTCTCAGGTTTTACAAAGTTACAATATGCTGAATTTAGACTGTGACAGCAGATATGTGCATTAACGGAAGTTTTTAACGGGTTTATTTTCTTTGTAAATTATTTATCAATCTAGAAGTCGTCGTTCTATTCCACTATATTAGAGACTAATATATAAATATAAACATTTCATTTTTAATACTTCTATTCTAAACCATGAACAGTTTGTCAATAGGATTCTGATTGATAAAATAAGTTTATGTTAGTAATATTTATTATTATATAAATAAGAAAGTTATGATTGCACAACACACACAAAGTTACGCTTAGTTTCTGTACAATAATACATAAAAGAATTATATAAGATTATATAACATTCTTATTCTTATTATTACTATTTGTGTGAGATTGTGAGATGTAAACGGAAAAGTTTAAGGTCCGGATGACGATTATGTTTCTTTATTTGAATTGCTAAAGGAATTGAGTCTTTGCCACAAACTCTTATTTTCTAATCCCCATATCTTTGCGACCTAAAATCTTTGACCTTAGATATTTTAAACTATGAATTCTCATAGACCGAATAATCTAAGTTTGAAATAATGAAGGTTTATTCAATCAGGTTTCAAAGATAAAGCAATTAAAAAATCGGAGTTTGTGGCAAAGACTCAATTCGTTTATTGTCAAAACTAGTTTTAGATATTCTCAAGTCAGTGGAAAAGAAGAATAATATTTAAAAAAACAAAGTTTTGAAATAAAATTATTATTTTCATTTCAAGCAAGAGTATTATTGAGTAAAAGTTGAGCCTGGTGAAATCAAATTAACAAATGGCTCCTGTCTGCGGAAATTACAAAATATAAATATTTCAGCTGATTAATTTAATCCGCTTAGTTCTGTGTAAACTACTAATTGGCAGGCAAAAACGGAAATTAATTCCAAACCAAGTAAATCAGAGAAAAGTTAAAATAAATATTTTGAATATTATTAAAAAACCAAAAAGGGAATATTTCCAAATAAAAATTGTAGATCATGGTTTATAAGATTTCTGTGTCAGGGATTCAGATAACAAGGCGCCTTGAGCTCAAAACTTGAATGTTGTTGATCCTGGGATTAAGCATTAATCCGTATCTTTTATTGTCCAAAGGATTAAGTGAATTCCTCGTGGATATTACGAGGTCGTATATTATATAATAATTAAATTAAATTAAACAATTAATTTTGGGTTCGAGCATGATAATCCCTTTAAAAGTAGTCACAGTGGATATCGAATTCAAGTGATGTAGATTAGCGAAATCTTGCAAAAATGTTTTAATCTCTTCTATTCTCTAATCCAGATTTTCTGTTGTCCTGAGCTGGGAACTTTAGAATGGTGGATATCGGGATTAATGCTTGATCCACTCTTTTTCTTAATCTCCAGATTAAATATTGCTTGTTCTCCTCATGAATTTAATCTCCAGATTAATAAACAGATCGGGATTAAGGATATCACGTTCTAAAGTTTTCAGCTCTGGTTCCTGTTGTTTTTATATTGAGATATCTATGCTTACTATTGTTAGGTTTTGAATTATTTTCCGGACTTTTTGGTTTTTAGGTTTATCTTAATATTATTTTTATATTTAGTCTGATATCAAGGTTTATTAATATCCAGTTATTAAGTCTGATATCAAGGTTTATTAATATCCAGTTTTTAAGTCTAATATCAAGGTTTATTAATATCCAGTTATTAAGTCTGATATCAAGGTTTATTAATATCCAGTTATTAAGTCTGATATCAAGGTTTATTAANCATGTTATCTCATAATGTTAGACATGTTATCTCATGATGTTAGACATGTTATCTCATAATGTTAGACATGTTATCTCATAATGTTAGACATGTTATCTCATGATGTTAGACATGTTATCTCATAATCTTTTGGTAAATGTCTGTTGGCAAAATTTTAGAAACCGTGACTGATAATGTTGACATATTTGGATGTAAAAAAAGTATTAAACCCAATTGAGATTTGATGGAACAATGAAATATTTTGGAGGATTTATGGGAATTATTGTGAAGGAACTATCTCACCTGGTTTGCAGTCTGTCTATTAGCTAGATGTTGGAAGAGAGATACAACACAGAGCCACAGATATAGAGCTATTACACTCTGAACATAGAGAAATAGAGATGTTACACTCTAAACATAGAGATATAGAGATATTACATTCTAAACATAGAGAAATAGAGATATTACACTCTAAACATAGAGAAATAGAGATATTACACTATAAACATAGAGATATAGAGATATTACACTCTAAACATAGAGATACAGAGATATTACACTCTAAACATAGAGAAATAGAGAGATATAGAGATATTACACTCTAAACATAGAGATATAGAGATATTACTCTCTAAACATAGAGATATTGAGCTATTACACTCTAAACAGAGAGAAGTAGAGATATTACATAAAGATAAAGATAAAGAGATAAAGAAATATAGAGCTCTTACATAGGGATAGGACAGATATTAAACCTACCTCTGCTACTACTACAACTAGGAACTAGGGATAGGACGGAACCTCTGCTACTACTACAACTAGGAACTAGGGATAGGACGGATATTAAACCTACCTCTGCTACTACTACAACTAGGAACTAGGGATAGGACGGATATTAAACCTACCTCTACTACTACTACAACTAGGAACTAGGGATAGGACGGATATTAAACCTACCTCTACTACTACTACAACTAGGAACTATGGATAGGACGGATATTAAACCTACCTCTACTACTTCTACAACTAGGATCTAGGGATAGGATGAATAATAAACCTACCTCTACTTCTAAAACAACTAGGACTGATATTAAACCTACCTCTACTACTGCTACAACTAGGAAAGCTAGGGATAGGACGGATATTCCGAAGAGTACGGTTGAGAGACACATGCCGACCATGTACGCAATGATAAAGAGCAGGGTTGAAACCAGCCAGGGGAGGAGGCACCACCGAGATCCTAGAGCATAAGATCACATAGAATCTGAAGTCATTGCACAATTTTTTTCCAAGCTCCATCACATGGATTTAACGGTTCTGTCAATATTCCAGATATTCGATCACAATTTGACCCATTAATCATAATATTTTATCTTTTTTTCAAGTACTTGTTTGTCTGAATCTACATTTTGAATAAAAAAGTATAGAACACACAAATCCGTAAGTTAAAAGATTGTTGAGTTATAGACCAAAACACGTTTGATTTCAAATAGAAGAAACCGAATGATGTTCAGTCCGGGGGTGGTATGTTAGTCGAAAGGTTTCCGTTGGTTTGAAAGATTACCTCTTAAGGGGACTGTTGACGTAATTTCAAATAGTTGTTCATTTAAAAACCTGAATATGCCCGACTTACAGAAGTAGCTTTTAGACCATCGTCTGACCAAAAATGAACAAAAAGAAATTAAATTGACAGAATTTTAAAACAGCTGCAAATGTTACCGTAGTGAATCGGGTATGGAACTCTTGAATCCGAGACACATTCTTTGGAAAACCAAAATAAATATCAAAAATAATTGAAATGAGATTATTTAAACCTACCCCTGGGGCTGCTACATAGAACCAAGGTATGTTTACTAAAGGTAGGGATGATAAGGATTTGTGTAGATATTTAACTGCATACGAAATAAAACTAGAACTAGTAGAAGTTAGTTCCATCACAAATCTAGAACTAGTATCAGGAACCATTTCCAAAGTGTGAGAGCTCCAAGAAAATTCTTCAAAAGAAAATTCAGACAGTATCCGTGAGATGCTGATGAAAGATTACAAGTCTAACAGAACCATCATCAGCAACTCAAAATCTTTAAAGTCATCCTCATAATAACATGGCTTCCTGAGAATTATTTACTAAACTAAATGATGATTATTCACCTAAAACCAGTTCCTGAGCAGTTCTAATATGTCACAGTAAAATGTACACAAACCCTTCTACCTTTACTGTACTTGCCGAGAAATCCAATTGCGAAATTTAAAAGAGTGTAGTTAGTTGAACGAAACTCCTGAGTTTAGGGTTTTCACATTTGTGTAGATTTACATTAATAAATAGAATATAAAGAAAATGAAACCAACAATATGAAACTCTGTTTCTTAAGAAAAGTATTGAGATATCTAAAAAATTGCCTCACTCATTCGTAAACCCCAGTTTTTTAATACTGGGTTTCATAACTTTACCCTGTCTTAAGTTTTGGGCTCTGGAGAAGCGTAAATCATTTACCTTTGACGCTTCCGTACATGAGCATCAGAGACACAAATAGATACACAACCTGAAAATATAAAATTGTTTTTTTTTATTTTTCTTTAGATACCGTGTGTCAGCATATATATTCCCGTGGTCCTACCGAGTTCCCCCAATCAAAATTTGAGGAAAATTGGTCCAGTGCAGGGGTTCCTGAGTTATGATCGGACAAACAAACATATATGGTTATGCTGACCAGACCACTGTGTTTTAACCGTTAACAATATGCATGGAATATTACAGAATTGACGCAAATGTGTGTTAAAGGCCGCGTAATTTTCTCTTTTAAATGTACAATTTACAACAAATGCTGTAAAAAGTGTAAATTGTATATTGTGCAGTGCAAAGATCTTAAAAATGTTCGGTAAAATTTACAATATCACAATGTATAGTACCCTGTCTTTATATATTTGGCTTGTCTGTTTTTTTGTTGGTTGGTTTGTTTCCAGCAAACGTAAAAATTAAAAAACCGATCCGGCGAAATTTTTTGTAAGACCTCACATGTCTCTATAGAATGTTTAAAAAGAATCTAATGGAATTGAGTCTTTGCATTGCCGCAAACTCTGATCTATCTTTGCAACTCTATGTCGTAGACCATAGATATTTTATCAGGTTGCAAATATATAGGTTTTAAAAAATTTGAGTTTGTGGCAAAGACTCAATTCATTTACAGATATTGACTACATTTTGTTCGGAAGAATACCAATGGAAAGAGAAATGAATATTATAGAATGGCTGCTAAGGAGGGGCACGAACTGGGTTTTTTCAAGATTATTAAACGATTCACAATAAAGTAATGACTTGTGCCCTCAGGTTTTCTACATAAAGCAGCTTGTACGTAAATTTGTAAGAACAAGAAAATTGTTATATTTCAAAAAAATTCTACGATATATGAATATCATAGTTTTCAAACAAACAGTAAAGTTTAATGTCATGGATTACAGAAAAATATCTCGGATTGTTCATCCAGATAATCCGGTTATTTTTGTTGCTGATCTTTCATCAAGCCTTTTTCTACATTCCTTTTTAATAATAACAATTAAAAATTCCGCATTTCCATGGCGGATTTGCAAAATTATTTCAAAAAAAATTTTAAAATCTAATTTATTTTGTAGGAATCTCATATCTTTATTCTGACCATAAACATTCTGGTTATGTGAGTCTCAGTGTAAAATTTTGGCCTGAGATGGAATTTAAAGAATTTGAGCCGTGGTTTAAATCCGCCAAACCCCGGTTTAAATTCAGCGCCGGCTTAAATTTTGAAACATATGATACAATTTTATGTGGAACCAACCATATTTAAACCGCGGCTTAAATTTAAACCGCCGCTCAAATTCTTTAAATTCGGCCACTGATCTGTTGAGCCGTTTATTGGATACAAACAAAGAGACAAGCCAAATATATAAAGAGATGAAATCAATAGCATTTAAGTTTGTAGTTTAATTATAGTATTTGTTAAAATGTTAAACTAACCAACAAAATTATGCAGACAATGAAGAATACTAGCATTGAAGCTCTCAATCTTTCAACCTAAATATAGAAATATTGTTCATTACCTCCTACCTCCTACCTCCTACCTCCTACCTCCTAACCTCCACCTACCTGTGGATCATCATCTGCGGGTAGTTCCTCCTCTCCTCCTTCCTGAACTACATCAGAGACTGTTCCCCAAAAATCCAAGTAACTGGCAGAAACGGAGGATTGGGAACAAAGGATTAGGAACTTGGAAAAATATAGACAATCAGGAACAAAGGATTTGGAATAATGAACTGGGAACTTAAGTATGAGGAAATAGAGACAATTAGGAAAGAGAATTAGGAACAGACGATAGGGAATTAAAGTATTAGGTTGAAATAGATAATTAGGAAATGAGGATTGGGAATAAAAAAATGGAAACTAAAGTATAGAATTAAGAATCAGTTAGGGACCGAGAATTGGGAGCTAAAGCATAGGAAAAAGAGATAATTAGGAACTTAGTATTTCGAACATGGTATCGGAGCCGGAGGATTAGGATAAAAGAGACAATTAGAACAAAAGAAGTTCAAGTTTAACGAGAATATTGACAGTCTGGAACGTTAAAGAATAAGGAAAAGGGAGTAGAAACAAAGAACTTGAAATAGAGGGTAAGGATCAAATATGTGATGAGACACAAGAGGGAAAAATTATTTGAAACTTGGAATAAGAGAACATATGATCAGTTGCAATTGGATTAGAAGCACAGCATTACTTGAATTGATTCTCACTGAAATTTTGAAGATGTTATCGTTTGTGGTTTAGGAATACTATACATTAAACAAAAATCTTCAAAGATTAACAAACAAAAAACTTTCATTTTGATGGGTCTTGAATACTCCGCCCCTGAAGGGATCCTCCTTGTTCTCTGCATCCCGTCCATGTTTATTAAGCATATGAACTGTAACCTTGGCCATATAATCCCTAAACATAAATCCCTGGTTATATTTGTTTAGCCGAACCTAATAAACTAGATTAGGCAGGATTTATGGGAAAAAAGGAGAAGTGTGAGTAAACATACTATCTTTTTGTCTTTTTCTTCAATTCAATTTTGATATGAACAAGTGTCTATGTATCTAGTGTCTGGTACCTTTTGTCTAGTAGTTAGTGTCGACTGTCTAGTACCTGCTCTCTAGTGAATACTATATATTGTCTACTGCCTAGTGTCTAGTATCAAGTGTCTACGGTCTAGTGTCTATTTTCTAGTGCCTAGTGTTTACTTTCTCCTGTCTAGAATCAAGTGTCTCCTGTCTAGTGTCTAATATCTAGTGTCTAGTATCAACTGTCTTACTGACTACTGTACATTGTCTAGTGTAAAGTTTTTACTATCTACTAACTGGCGTCTAGTGTATAATATCTAGTGTTTAGGTTCTAGAGTATAGCGTTTACTATCTAGTGTCTAGTGACTAGTGTATATGTATATTTTCAAGGGTTTTGTGTCTAGTGTCTAGTATCTACTGTCAATTGTCTAGTGTCTAGTATCTACCTGTTCACCAAGGAGATGGACATCGGTATGACGGAGAAGACGGAGAGCGCCAGGGTCATCACACCCATCATCAATCCTCCGGTCCTCAGATTCACACAACAACAACACCGACTTTACAATGAAAAACATATTTATGATCGTTATCTAGAATTCCTTTTAAAACTTTAGAACATAAGAATTGGCCTGGAAAGAGGAAACTATAACTCTAGAATTGGTTTTTGAAACTATAAGGAAAGAAATATTCTGGAACTTATGAATTGATATTGAAAAACTTAAACTCAAGAATTGGTCTGGAAACTAGAATTTAAGATGCGGAATTGAAACCATGGAACTCAAAAATAGGTCTGGAAACTTCAAGAATTGGTCTGGAAACTAGAACACAAGAATTGGTCTGGAAACTAGAACTTAAGAAAAAGGTCAAAAACTAGAACTCAAGAATTGGTCTGGAAACTAGAACTCAAGAATTAAGGAGCAAACTAAAACTCAAGAATTGGTCTGGAAAATAGAACTCAAGAATTGGTCTGGAAACTAGAACTCAAGAATGGTCTGGAAACTAGAACTCAAGAATTAAGGAGCAAACTAGAACTCAAGAATGGACTGGAAACTAGAACTCAAGAATGGTCTGGAAAATAGAACTCAAGAATTTGTCTGGAAACTAGAACTCAAGAATGGTCTGGAAACTAGAACTCAAGAATGGACTGGAAACTAGAACTCAAGAATTGCTCTGAAAAATGAACTTAAGAATTTATCTGGAAACTAAAACTTCAGAAATCTCTGGGTCTGAAATAAAATTGAATAAAAAATACGATCAAGAATATAAGTTTCCTGAAGCAGGGCATTTTGGAAAATTTCTAAAAATCTGAAATAAAAAAAAATGTATTTAGGGAATCAACAGATTTTTAATTTAACACGGAGTTTAAATACCAAACCTGAAGAGGTAAGAGGTGTTTTGCTGATTAAACCTGAAGAGGTAAGAGGTGTTTTGCTGATTAAACCTGAAGAGGTAAGAGGTGTTTTGCTGATTAAATTTATCGAGGGAACCTGGATTAATAAACCCCGCTCCCCTCAACAAAATTTTAATTAAAGTAAATGAGTTTTTGCCACAAACTTAATTTTGTAATCCCTATATCTTTTTAATCCGATGTCGTAGACCTTTGATATTTCAAACTATGGATCCTGTTAAATCAAAAGGTCTAAGTTTAAAATATAAACGGTTTACACAACCAGGTTGCAAAGATATAAAGATTAGAAAATTTGAGTTTGTGGCAAAAACTCAGTTCCTTTTTTGACATAAAAATCAGTGCTTTTTTTACAACAAAAAAAAACTGTCCTGAGGCCGAATTTAAAGAATTTGAGACGCAGCTTAAATTTATAGGCAGTTCTTCTTAAAATAGTATTAATTGTTTCAATATTTAAGCCGGCGCTCAATTGAAACCGGTTTTTGGCGGATTTAAGACTCGGCTCAAATTCATTAAATTCGGACACTGAGGACATAAAGAAGCATAAAATAATGCAAAATTAGCATGTTGGGGATATTACGAGTCATACTTGTCACTCAAAAGGCGACGAAAAAAAATAACTCTTAATTAATAAACGATTCCGGTTATATCTAAGCTTTTTTTAAATATAGATTTTATGCAATACTTATTTCCTAATTGGTTGAAACTATTTAATTAATGAAACTATTTACTTAGATTATTATACCCCCCCCCCCCGGCCCCTCCTTCCTTATCTAGTTTAGAAATCTAGGCTTGAATACTAGTAGATTCATTCCCTTTCTCCAGCTACGCTATGCGTGCAATAAACATATCTGTATCTGTTTATGTATATATATGTATATATACATATTATATAAAATAAATACATATATGAAAGCAGATGTTCTTAAATCAGAATTTACTCAAATATTAAGGTTTTATTGAAATAATCACTTCTCTCGGTTCTTGACAAGGTAGGATATAATCTGAGTTCTACTCCTGGTCTCGAGGAACAAAATGGATTCATGATCAAATACTGTGTAGGTTTATCTCACAGGTGTAAAGTGTAGGGTTGACTAAGATGAGCAGGAGAGAAACCCAAGTTACCTAGACTACCTAACTGCCTACACATCTATAAAGCTCAAGAAAGCTAGATAAATGAACATACAAAATGTCGTCTTCATTGAACGGAGATTTTCTCACATGAAGATACTATTTGCTTTTATTTAAGCGTATCGTTCATCAATTCTATCTGTAATTTTATTGGTTGCGCGCCTCAAACTCTAATATTCAGTTGTATCTTTGCAACTTGAGGAGCACTTCGGTTTTTCAGTTTAGTTGCTAGATTTAATAATCAAAGTTTTTAATCAAAGGTTTATCCGTCAGGTTGTAAAGATATAGGGATTAGAAAATTAGATTTGAGTCGAGTTATCAGTTTCATGAATTTAGTAGGAAAGAACTTACCATCTAGATTTTTAATGGATAAATTAATGTGAAAATTGTGCAGAATGTATATATATTTTTTTAGAGTATCCAATTCCATGCAGAATCATTTAACAGTTCTTGTAGACATCTAAACGATTTGAACTTATACAAAAACTCATTCCAAATATTTTTCTTATATTTATTTATAAGAAAGTATTTTTGCATTAAAATTGAAAACAAAAATAAAAAACTTTTGTTTACATCATAAGAAAAATATATTTACTTTAAAATTGAAAACAAAAATAAAATAACTTTTATTTACATCATAAGAAAAATATGTTTACTTTAAAATTGAAAACAAAAATACAATAACTTTTATTTACATCATAAGAAAAATATATTTACTTTAAAATTGAAAACAAAAATAAAATAACTTTTATTTACATCATAAGAAAAATATATTTACTTTAAAATTGAAAACAAAAATAAAATAACTTTTGTTTACATCATAAGAAAAATATATTTACTTTAAAATTGAAAACAAAAATAAAATAACTTTTGTTTACATCAGAGGAAAAGTATTTTTGCTTTAAAATTGAAAACAAAAATAAAATTAGTTTCTATTTTCTCATTATTCTAGTTCTGATTATTCAAAAGCATTTTCTGCAGATTTTCTTGAATTATTATTGAAAAGACGACATTTAAAGAATTTGGAGAAATCTGCGACTAAATTCAAAGAAAATAAGAAATTCAATATAATGATAAAAACGAAATAATTGATTCTAGCATTGATTTATTGACAAATTTCTTTTGAGAATTAAATATGTTCCTAACCATCTAATTAGATAACTGTATAATTTTTACTCTATTTTTCGTTATTTAATAATTTGAAAATAACCGATTCTAAAAAAGTATCCACCCCCAAAGTAGGAGTTTTGAACGTCGAATTTGCGCTCAAACTCAGGATTTACAGGTCACTCCCTTTAAATATTTTCTCTATGAAAGTAACTTGCGGATTTCTAGAGGCATTGGCCCGAAGTTATCATTTTCAAGATCATAGAACGACAATATCTTTCTCATTGTTACTTAGATAAAGCAGAGCTGAGGGCGCATTTTCAAGACCACTTTCATCGTGGTTTCAAATATTTTGTCGTTAGTCTAATTTCCGGACAATATCATTAGGAAAAATAATCTTTTATAATTTGTTAAACTTTGATTACTTTTAAAAGTTAATTTAAATTGTTGCATGAGAAGTAAATAAGGAATTTGAAATGGTGCAATTTTATTGATCTTTTAGAGCAGGAAAAACATACAAAACTTGGTTTTAACTACAGTGAAAACAAAAAGAAAACTGTAGATTAGGAAGACGACATTAAACCAATATTGAAGTGCATTTGATGTTGTTACACAGCAAATAGTTTAGCTGTAAGTGTTAAAATCACGCCTTATATGTCAAATGAGTCTGTGTCTCATGTTCATTGGACTTTTTAAACTCATAACTTGAGTCTAAACGTCGAATTCTTATTCCAAAGTTTTCTGGTTATCACTGTATAAAAGTGATCTTTTAAACTATTTTCTCCTAGTCCATTATCAAAAGACAACAATAGAATTTTTTCAGGTTTCCCTTTTCCTATCGATAATTTATTGCTGGAAATAAAATATTAGAAAATTAGATAAGTGAATTAGAGCTTATATAATTAGATAGTAGATTAGATAATTAAATAGGAGATTAGATGATCAGATAGGATATTAGATAATTAGATAGTAGAATAGATAATTAAATAGGAGATTATGATCAGATAGGATATTATATAATTAGATAGTAGATTAGATAATTAAATAGAAGATTAGATGATCAGATAGGATATTATATAATTAGATAGTAGATTAGATAATCTAATATTTAATTAGCTAGATACTCAGATAAGAGAAAAGAAAATTAGATACAGTTTAACCCAAAACTTAAAAAAGAAAGAATCTATAAAATATCGTTTTCTAAACCTACTGATAATTATTTTTTTGAGTTAAATAATTATATAAAGCTATTGAAAACTTCTCCCGCATATTTCATGGTTATTTATATATTTTTACAATAACTGAGATTCAGACGACATTTTATAAATTCTTTTGATGTCTTCGAAGTTCTGGGTTAAACTGTAGCAGATTAGATATTGATAATCAGATAGAAGATTAGATAATCAGATAGGAGATTAGATAATCAGACAGAGAATAGAAAACCAGATAGGATATTAGAAAACCAGATAGGATATTAGAAAACCAGATAAAGAATAGAAAACCAGATAAAAATTATATAATTTGATTGGAGATTAGATTATCAGACTGAAGATTAGATGAGATTAAATAATCAGACTGAAGATTAGATGAGATTAGATAATCAGATAGAACATTAGAGATTAGATTCGTGACAAAGCCATCACTTTTACATTTTCTATTTACATATTATATGTTTGGGTTTAATTTTGTGGGTTGGGGTGTCTTCCCTCGGAAAGTTTCTTCAATTAGTAGTTTTTTTACAGGCAAAACACACAAAACACACAAAAAACACACAAAAAAACTATCTGCAAAAAATTTAGCGTTTCATAGAGATTTCTTTAAAAGATTTGATTGCAATTGATGACTACACAGTAAAGTGCAGTGGGACGGTTTGCCCATATATCTCCGGAATTTTCTTGAATCCGTTCTAGAGGATAAAAAAACTTGTTAGAAAGGAACTTAGCTCCGACTCACACGGTCGACATTTCTTTCTGTAAAACTCAAACATTCCTTCAGGTTTCAGATCGCAAAGATTATGTTTCATATTTATCAAACAAAATGATTGTTCAACAAGAAAATTTGAATTTCTTTAATTTTTGTTTTTTAATGTATCATTTTTTATATAGTTTTTTTTGTATATATCTTCGTAAAATATATATCCCTGGTTGTGACCCTGGCTAGTTATAGGCAGGTCAGCTGATACTAGGCTGGTCACCAGGATACCTTGCTCCTATACACACTCAACACCACATATACTTTATACAAGGTACACTTTGTGATATATTAGTGAGAATACAGGATTCAAGGTATACTACAGGATACAGGATACACATCAGGATACAGGATATACATCAGGATACAGGCTATACATCAGGATACAGGATATACATCAGGATACAGGGTATACATCAGGATATAGGATATACATCAGGATACAGGATATATATCAGAATACAGGGTAAACATCAGGATACAGGATATACATTAGGATAAAGGACACACTTCAGGATACAGGATATAGATTAGGATACCTGGGATATGGATCAGGATACATGATGTACATCAGGATAAGGGTATACATCAGGATACAGGATATATATTAGGATATTGGATATGCATCAGGATACTGGATATACATCAGGATACATGATTTACATTAGGATACAGGGTAGTCATAAGGATACAGGATATACATAAGGATAAAGGATATACATCAGGATACAGGGTATACATAAGGATACAGGGTATACATCAGGATACAGAATATACATCAGGATACAGGATATACACCAGGATACAGGATATACATCAGGATACAGGATCAATTTCAGAATGAATGAGAATACAGGGTTTACATACATACAATGGGCAATATTCGATATATTTATTTATGTAATAAAGCTCTTCGCTCATTTATATATTCGCTATAGCTGCCCAAACAGGCAACGCCGTGCACTTTAGCTAAAATTATAATTTAAGACCAAGCTCGGGTAAACGGCAGGAAAAACTTTGAGTAACCATGGGCAACGCTGGGCACTTCAACTAGTGTATATTATAATCTAAAGAATGTTTTCTTTAAGATTTTGGATTGGAAACAAAGAAACATTACGCAAGAAATATTTTAAACAACTCTAAAAGTTTAGATAAAAGATAGTTAGTAAAACGTCATTTAGGCCTGCGTGCAGGGCTACCCACAAAGGATGAGAATTCAGAGATGACTGTACTAAATCTATTCAGTATTACTTTTTACATTCAAGGCTCCAAGCGTTTTTACGATTCCATATTTCTTTTTCAAATCATCAAATCGATCTTTATAAAACTTTTGGCTTGAGCCGGCATATCTGAAGAGTTTCAGGTTGTCAAAAAAGTCTTATCTTTTAAGGTCACCCTGTGGAAATTATTTTGCAAATAAAAGACAATTTAATATTTGTTTAGATGGGTGACCACGAACTGCTTGATATTGAAGAGTGGGGTCTTGTTCTAAACAAGATGTTGAAGTTTCACTACAACGTGTCTGAGGAGATCAAGGCAGTGGTCCAGGTAAACGTAATCAAGAAAACGCGGGAAATTCAAATTTTGTAAATTTTTTCAAAGTCTCAATTATAAGAAGTAATGATTACAGTCGGTAAACACAATGTAACCAAACAACTAAAACCATACCTTGATCAGCTCTATCCTTTCCCCCCACCTTTAGTATACATACCTTGATCAGCTCTATCCTTTCCCCTTACCTTTAGTATACATACCTTGATCAGCTCTATCCTTTCCCCTTACCTTTAGTATACATACCTTGATCAGCTCTATCCTTTCCCCCCACCTTAAGTATACATACCTTGATCAGCTCTATCCTTTCCCCATACCTTAAGTATACATACCTTGATCAGTTCTATCCTTTCCCCTTACCTTTAGTATACATACCTTGATCAGCTCTATCCTTTCCCCTTACCTTTTATATACATACCTTGGTCAGCTCTATCCTTTCCCCTTACCTTTAGTATACATACCTTGGTCAGCTCTATCCTTTCCCCTACCTTTAGTATACATACCTTGATCAGCTCTATTTTGTGTTTAAATTGTTGATCGTGAATTGATCGTTTAATGTTTGATGATCAGGCGATCAGGCAGGAGATGAAGCCTGAGTTAATCCCCCTAGCAGAGGACAAGGCCGCCTTCGGCAAGATCATCAAGACCGCCATCAGGTTTATTTAGATTAGTTATTTTTAGATTTCTACAATTTTTCTCATTCGTATCATTTCTTTATCCTTATTCTTCCTTAAAGTTTTTTCTCACCTTAAAAGGACATTGAAAGTAATTTCAAATGACCCTATATTTAAAGGGGTGACTTGTATGAATCACAATGATACTCTTTAAATCCTTCTTTTCCTATTTTAAAATAATTAAAATTACGTTTAAAGTCCTTTTATAACATACAGCTTTCTTTCTCTTTATTCTGATCTCCACATTTCTCGTTAACTTGATCTTTATGCTGATTTTTATCATTGTTCGAAATCTGATGTTTCTAAATTCCCTTTATTTTGATTTTTATATGTTTTTTTTTATTTCAGATATTTACAGTTTTCTTTAAACTAATCTGAACTAAATATTTATAAACATAAAATATTATTTTATCCAGAACTTAGAATTTAAAGCTCGATATTAGATTTTTTTATTTCTCGTTCTCTGGGAACTTGTATGTTGTCTGTTAGATACTCATGATCCTAATCTCTTGATCTCGATATTCACCGTGGGCATTCTTAATTTCAGGATCAACACTTTATTTCAGTTATTCCTCCAGGGTCCGATTACAAAGCGGGATATCGAATAAAGATCAGATCATCAATTCATTTTGATATCTACAAAACAAGAGTTCCCACATATAATCCATTACTTCGATCTTTATGTTTCTCTTCCAACTGGTCTTCGCGGAGCCCTTTAAACTGAACTTTAAGTTTCTCTTTAACCTGCTCTTCATGTTTCTTTTCAACTCAATCTTCCCGTTTCTTTTTAACCTGATCTTCACTTTCTCTTTAACCTGATCTCCATGTTTCTCTTTAACCTGATCTTCATGTTTCTCTTTAACCTGATCTTCACGTTTCTTTTTAACCTGATCTTCATGTTTCTCTTTAACCTGATCTTCACGTTTCTCTTTAACCTGATCATCATGTTTCTCTTTAACCTGATCTTCATGTTTCTCTTTAACCTGATCTTCACGTTTCTCTTTAACCTAATCTTCATGTTTCTCTTTAAACTGATCTTCACGTTTCTGTTTAACCTGATCTTCACGTTTCTTTTTAACCTGATATTCATGTTTCTCTTTAACCTGGTCTTCACGTTTATCTTTAACCTGATATTCATGTTTCTCTTTACCCTGATCTTTACGCTTCTTTTTAACCTGATCTTCATGTTTCTCTTTAACATGATCTCCATGTTTCTATTTAACCTGATCTTCACGTTTCTCTTCAACCTGATATTTATGTTTGTCTTTAACCTGATTTTTATGTTTCTCTTTAACCTAATCTTCATTTTTCTCTTTAACCTAATCTTTATGTTTCTCTTTAACCTAATCTTCACTTTTCTCTTTAACCTGGTCTTCACGTTTCTTTTTAACCTGATCTTCATGTTTCTTTTTAACCTAATCTTCATGTTTCTCTTTCAACTGATCTTTACGTTTCTGTTTAACCTGATCTTCATGTTTCTCTTTAACCTGATCTTCATGTTCCTCTTTAACCTGGACTTTAAGTTTCTCTCTAACCTGCTCTTTACGTTTATCTTTAACCTATTCTTTATGTTTCTTTTTAACCTGATCTTCAAGTTTCTCTTTAACCTGATCTTCTCATTGCTATTTAGCCTGATCTTCACGTTGCTATTTAACCTGATCTTCACGTTTCTCTTTAACCTAATCTTCATGTTTCCCTTTAACTTAATCTTCATGTTTCTCATGAACCTAATCTTCACGTTTATTTTTAACCTGATCTTCACGTTTCTTTTTAACCTGATCTTTATGTTTCTTTTTAACCTAATCTTCATTTTTCTCTTTAACCTAATCTTAATGTTTCTCTTTAACCTAATCTTCACGTTTCTCCTAAACCTGATCTTCATGTTTCTTTTTAACCTAATCTTCACGTTTCTCTTTAACCTAATCTTCATGTTTCTCTTTAACCTAATCTTCATGTTTCTCTTTAACCTGATCTTCACGTTTCTTTTTAACCTGATCTTCACGTTTCTTTTTAACCTGATCTTCATGTTTCTTTTTAACCTGATCTTCATGTTTCTTTTTAACCTAATCTTCATTTTTCTCTTTAACCTAATCTTAATGTTTCTCTTTAACCTAATCTTCACGGTTCTCCTAAACCTGATCTTCATGTTTCTTTTTAACCTAATCTTCATGTTTCTCTTCAACCTAATCTTCATGTTTCTCCTAAACCTGATCTTCATATTTCTTTTTAACCTAATCTTCACGTTTCTCTTTAACCTAATCTTCACCTTTCTTTTTAACCTGATCTTCACGTTTCTTTTCAACCTAATCTTCATGTTTCTTTTTAATCTGATCTTCATGTTTCTCTTTAACCTGATCTTCACGTTTCTTTTTAACCTCATCTTTATATTTCTCTTTAACCTAATCTTCATTTTTCTCTTTAACCTAATCTTCATGTTTCTCTTTAACCTAATCTTCACTTTTCTCTTTAACCTGATCTTCACGTTTCTTTTTAACCTGATCTTCATTTTTCTCTTTAACCTGATGTTCATGTTTCTCTTTAACCTGATCTTCATGTTTCTCTTTAACCTAATCTTCATGTTTCTCTTTAACCTAGTCTTCATGTTTCTCTTTAACCTAATCTTCACGTTTCTTTTTAACCTGATCTTCACGTTTCTTTTTAACCTGATCTTCATGTTTCTTTTTAACCTAATCTTCATTTTTCTCTTTAACCTAATCTTCATGTTTCTCTTTAACCTAATCTTCATTTTTCTCTTTAACCTGATCTTCACATTTCTTTTTAACCTGATCTTCATGTTTCTCTTTAATCTGATGTTCATGTTTCTCTTTAACCTGATCTTCATTTTTCTCTTTAACCTAATCTTCATGTTTCTCTTTAAACAGATCTTCACGTTTCTCCTAAACCTGATCTTCATGTTTCTTTTTAACCTAATTTTCACGTTTCTCTTTAACCTAATCTTCATATTTCTCTTTAAGATGATCTTCATGTTTCTCTTTAACCTAATCTTCACGTTTCTTTTTATCCTGATCTTTACGTTTCTTTTTAACCTGATCTTCATGTTTCTTTTTAAGCTAATCTTCACTTTCTCTTTAACCTGCTCTTTACGTTTCTCTTTAACCTAATCTTCACCTTTCTTTTTAACCTGATCTTCATGTTTCTTTTTAACCTGATCTTCATGTTTCTTTTTAACCTGATCTTCACGTTTCTTTTTAACCTGATCTTTACGTTTCTCTTTAACCTGATCTTCACGTTTCTCTTTAACCTGATCTTCTTGTTTCTCTTTAACCTAATCTTCATGTTTCTCTTTAAACTGATCTTCACGTTTCTGTTTAACCTGATCTTCATGTTTCTCTTTAACCTAATCTTCATGTTCCTCTTTAACCTGGACTTTAAGTTTCTTTCTAACCTGCTCTTCACGTTTATCTTTAACCTGATCTTTATATTTCTTTTTAACTTGATATTCAAGTTTCTCTTTAACCTGATCTTCTCATTGCTTTTTAGCCTGATCTTCACGTTGCTATTTAACCTGATCTTCATGTTTCTCTTTAACCTGATCTTCTCATTGCTATTTAGCCTGATCTTCACGTTGCTATTTAACCTGATCTTCACGTTTCTCTTTAACCTGATCTTCATGTTTCTCTTTAACCTGATATTCATGTTTTTCTTTACCCTGATCTTTACGTTTCTTTTTAACCTGATCTTTACGTTTTTCTTCAAGCTGATCTCCATGTTTCTTTTTAACCTGATCTTCATGTTTCTCTTTAACATGATCTCCATGTTTCTATTTAACCTGATCTTCACGTTTCTCTTTAACCTGATATTTATGTTTGTCTTTAACCTGATCTTTAAGTTTCTTTTTAACCTGATCTTTACGTTTTCTTCACGATGATCTCCAGGTTTCTATCTAACATAATCTTTACTCTTTTCTTCCAACTGATATTCACGTTTAATATTATCTGTAACCTGTAAACTGGTTTAGGGATATGTGGTGTCTGGAATATGAAGTTGACGAACTTCAATCCAAGTTTGCTGATTCTATAGGTTAGTAACTGTATTTATATTAGTGTATAATCATATTGATATAATATTGATATAGCTTAAATATATAGAAGATTAAATCATGTACGAATGATGTTTTTTTTGTTAAACCTAAGGTGAGAATTTTTTTTAAGTTCGCACATACATCACATAGATTCCACTGATCATTTATTAGGTGTACCGTCCCGTTTTGCCTTCTAAAGTTTTTATTTGTACTGTACAGCTTGCTCTAGCTGATTAAAAGTCGGTCCGGTACTTGTAGTGAACCGGAGTAACATTATCATCTAGAAAAACTTGCTTCTAGGAACCTACAGTGGGACTCATAAAAACTGTAGATTAGAAAGAACATGAAACACTATGTTCAGTGTACACATACCCATTTCACTTAAGAAGTTGATTTTTAAGCTTCTGGTAAACTTCATATTTGCTGAATAGCAACCTCAAATACACAAAAGATCGTCTCGTTGCAAAGTTTTATGGGTCCCACTGTATGTCTCAGATAATCAATGCCACTAAGAATCCATGTTTCTAGGAAACTATGTATCTAGGAAATTATGTATCTAGGAAATTATGTATCTAGGAAACTATGTATCTAGGAAATTATGTATCCAGGAAATTATGCATCTAAGAAACTAAATCTTTAGGAAACTATGGCTCTAGGAGTCGATGTCTCTAAGAAACTACTTTATCTGGAATCTAAGTCTCTAGGAAACTGTTTTGTCTAAAAGACTATGCCTCTAGGAATCTATGTCTCTAGAAAACTATGCATATAAGAGACTATGCATCTATGAAACTATGTCTATAAAATTTGTATCTAGGGCGGTATAAATCTAAGAAACTAAATCTCTAGGAAACTATGCCTTTTGGAAACTAGTTATATCTCTAGGAGACTATGCCTCCAGGAAGCTATTTGTCTAGAAACTTATGCCTCTAGGAATTCATACATCCATGAAACTATATCTCTAGGAAACTATGCCTAAATATAACCATATTTAGGAGACTATGCCTTTAGGAATTCATACATCTGGGATACTATATCTCTAGGAAACTATGTATTTAGCTAACTATGTATCTCGGAGACCATATCTCTAGGAAACTATGTATTTAGCTAACTATACATCTAGGAGACCATATCTCTAGGAAACTATGTATTTAGGAGACCATATCTCTAGGAAACTATCTATCTAGGAGACCATATCTCTAGGAAACTATGTATCTAGGAGACCATATCTCTAGGAAACTATGTATCTAGGAGACCATATCTCTAGGAAACTATGCATTTAAGAGTTAAAGAAAATCAACAGAATTTTTTCTTCTACTTTCTCAACAATGAAGCTTTATTTTAATTATTGATGTTTAACATTTATTGATTTATATATCCTACGTCATAGATTTTATTTTTAGGAAAAATGGATCTGGAGAATCTTGATGTTGATTTTATTGAGGATATGATGCTAAAATCTAAACCTCTTCAATCCGTCCTTAATGATATTAGGAACAGGCAGAAGGTAGAATTATACCGGGGTTTTCAGTGCAATTTAAACAATTGAAAAATATTACATAAAAATTAAAATACTTTGTAAAAAATTTACATTTTGTTGACATTGAAACTTTTTTCTACAAAGATTTTGTAGTTTTTCAAAAATTATTTTAAACTTTGCAAATATATTAAATTGCATATGAAATAAAAATAAAAATTTAAGAAAAAAGTATGAAAAGTAAAAATAAATTGATTTAGGCGAAGCTTGAGGACATCAAGAAAACCTACGGCGATGCTATTAAAGACCTGGAACCAATGAAGGTTTCCCGTCCTCCTAAACCCGTTCAATCCGCCGCACCGGCACCAGCTCCTGAGACACCCGCCGAACCCGCCTCAGCTGCTGCTCCCGCTCCCGCTCCTGTAGCAGCAACCGCCTAAACCTATCTATAATAATTCAATAATATCTGATGGAATTATTTTAAATCTTCAATTTTCAATTTCAAATAAATTTCTGTACACATTTTGGAGATTAATGAATGCAAACACGTTAAAATAAAGAGTTTTAGAAGTATGTTGAAGACGAGAAAATATAAAAAGAAAAAACTATAAAAATATAAAAAATGATTTTTAGTTATATTGAATTTCAGTATATTTTTTCTCTCTTTTTTTTGAGGACATTCTTTAATATAATAATGCAAAGTTGACAATGCCTGATTCACAACGGTACCCTTTAAAGTATGAATTAGATATTAATTTTTCTATTTAAAAAAACGGATTATTTACAATGGTGGTTTTTAACAAAAGCGACTACAGGAAAATATATAGAAATTATCATAACTAAACACTTTTAACCCTGGAAAAACGACAATATCTTCCACATTAGTGACTAGATAAAGGTTTCAAGGTTAGCGTTGTAATTAAGGCATTGCCATCTTTGCCTGTTGGGTCATTAGAAATTATGCTAACAGTCCCTTTAATCCTCCTTGAAATATTCAACTAGATAACAGTCCCTTTAATCCTCCTTGAAATATTCAAGTAGATAACAGTCCCTTCAATCCTTCTTGAAATATTCAATTATGCTAACAGTCCCTTTAATCCTCCTTGAAATATTCAACTATGCTAACAGTCCCTTTAATCCTCCTTGAAATATTCAACTAGAAATCAAAATTAAGAATATTCAAATTATGATTTTTACGAAATGAGGATTGGAACCAAACATATTTCTCGGACACCAAATGAGAACTGTTCATAATAAAAAATATGATTAATTCTTTCCACTTGTGTCAAAAAATATAACTTGGATTGTGAACATTGTAAAAGAACGGTAGATTTTTTACGGTTCAATCAAAAATCATTGGAGGGTACTTCATAGTTAAATTTTTTAATTTTTTTACTTTTTCAAATAAACACGCTATTCTACCCCACCCCCCTTCTATACGTTAAAGTTTGTTCTCCCATTATGCGATCTTTAAAGGGACTGTAAGCGTAATTTCAAGTAACCCTCCATACAAAGATAGCAATGACCGTTCAAAGAGTTACCCTTCAAAGCTTTGTTTAATCAAGTATGAATAAGATATCAATTTTTATTATTTTAAAAACTGATTAGTTTCAATTGTATTTTCTCTACATCAGTGGCTTGCGATTTCTAGGAGAAATACCATAACATCAAAAAAACTAAGTATTCAAAAGTGGAAAGTACAGAGTATATTGTGAACATTTACAGTCCCTGCAGTAACTTGTTAGATACTCGAAATAATTTGATTGATAGATAGACAAAAACCGTACTGCGTTGTTTTGATTAAATACTGGATCTTACTTGTTTAGCGTATACTTTTTTGAGGATTTCCTCAAATTTGAATATTTGGTTTTCGAGGTTGTGGTACTCTTACCACATTTTATACTGCTGGAAAGCAGTTAGGAACTTTACAGAATTAACACTTTTAAACTTAGAAAAACGACAATATCTTCCACATTATTGATCAGGTTATGAAAGGTTTCAAGGGTATCGTTGTGAATCATGCATTAAAATCTGTGCATGGAGGGTCACTCGACATTACGCTTACAGTCCATTTAAAAATGATTTTACCAAAGAAAAAATGTAAAATCTAGATATTTATATTTCTGAGAATTTAATATCAAAGAAAAAAACTAGTTTTGTGCTTCAACTATTATTAGCTTAATTTGTAAATAAAAACAGTTATATTAAAGCCTTTTTAAAGATTTTTTTTATGTTCAACCTTTTGAAATCTGTGAAATTTAATATTTACGTTCATATTTCATATTTTGAAACTCTTTTTTTTAAAGTGTGAACAAGCATATTTTTTGTCGTGAATTTAAAATTACAGATATAAAATTTTAAAACAAATACCTTTTTTATTTAGATTATTAAAAAACACCTCAATTACCATTTCATAATTATTTCAAACTTCGCGCCAATAATTCCATTACAAAATTTTCAAAAAATCTAACATTTTTTAAAGTGAAATAATGTAGATATTATTCAATAATGTAAATAAGCTAATGATATTTAAAGTTTCATCAACACTTGAACACATTGTACCCTTTTAAGGCTAAGGCTACTAGCTATACAAATTGTTTCATGGCCTGATCTTCAGTAGTTTAAACCAAAAGAGAATAGAATATATAGAGAGGAATTAAAAGAATCTCTCGGTATGAATTTTTTCAGTCCCTTTCAGCCTGAAATGGAGTTCAAAGTGTACAAATCATGTAAATGTTCACAAATTATATGCAGTAGAGTACATTAATACAGTATGTTCCCTAGACTATTCATTTCAATTTCGAAATGTTTCCAAACAGTGGGTTGGGTGAGTTAGGTTAGGATACATATTTAAGAGTTGGACTATTGTCAGGTTGTAGACTTGTTAACTTGAAATGGGAATTCTGAATTTAAGCGATAAAAAACGATAGAATAACGCAATTCAATAAAAATATTTTTATTCAGGATGAAATTACCTCTCGCTAATTAGTTCCCTGTGCAGCAGATTTATACATGTATTGTACATATATTGATATGAATTGATCCAGTTTACACCAGTTTTAGAGTTTATTGGAGTTCATATTTGATATGATGCTAGTTAACCGATCTAAACTTCACACCAATGTCTTTCTTGAAAAAACAGAATTTGCGCAATCTGGCACTACCCCCCCCCCCTCTCCAATTCCCCTATGCAGTTTCTTCATTGGGTGCAAGGTCATGTTTTTCTTGCACCCCAGCCCAGTGTGTGCGTATATTATATTGAATAATTTACGCTAATATACATTTTATTTAATTCTTCCAAGGACACGTCGCGGTTAAAAATATCATCTTTTGTATAGTGTATAGTTGAGTACAAGGAAGTGGGTTGGCTTGAAAATTACTAAAAGTGCAGCAGAGTGCAGGGCGCAGGCTGAGCAGGCTCCAGCTGCAATATCTAAATATTCTTCTATACGTGATATACATCCTGTTATACTCTAAGTATTAATAGGCTGAATAGCAAGCCTGTCTGTATAACTACGCCCCCTTCTAATTATGGCGGATTCTGCCGCACAGCCTCTTGTCTGTATAACTATCCCTGCTCCGGCCCTGACCCAAACCAGTAAAAACTTCCCGGCCTAACTTAACAATCTTATATACGCATGTTGACGCAATAATTTTTATTAAGATGTTGTGAATTTGTTTATTGAGTAACAATTAAAAAAATTATGGTATTTTTATTCTGCAAGTATTTTTGTAATTTGCAAAAAATGGATAGTTTTTGATATTGCTCCGGAATGCTGGGATCTAAGTATTCATGTAAAAATAAAATAGCCTCGCACCGCTACTCAGAAACTTCTCAAATGCGCAGAAGTTGTAACATTTCATCGTGGAAAGTTTTTATATTTCAAAATGAAACAAATGAACTCTAGTATTTTTCCCCGTATATTAGATATATTTTATATCATACACATTCTGGACATCATTTAATCTAGTAACCTCTGTTTGTATTTTTAAGGATGTGTCCGCTATCATAATTCACAAACTCCTTGACCGATTTGCCTCAAATTTTGGTTGTGGAACTGGGTAGAATTGCACTGGAATGTCTTTAAAGTCAGTCTAGTTAGACTGATTATTGTAGACATCATAAGTTCAGTTTATTACAAAGGCGCAACTAGGGGGGGGCCGGGCGCGTGCCCTCCCCTAGCACCTGAGAGGGGGGGGGCGCCCCCCCCCTGCAGAATGAAAAGAAAGAAAGAACGGCGAAAATCAGTATCACAGGAATAAGAAAACCAATAGAGTTATTGTAGAAATTTTATTATAATATAGTTAGTTTAAAAAAAAATATTTTTATCTTTCTCAATTCTCAAGGCTAAAGGCTATTGTAAACATGTATGTGGTAAAGAGTTGATTTTCAAAACGTTATTCATTTTCTGGTTTTTAAGAACAATACAAGAACAAAAAATAGATTTGAATTGAACACAGCCAAATCTGCATGCAACAACTTAAAATTTCCTTACACTCTCCTTAATGCGGCACACACCCCTGTTAAATAATGTATACGTGTAAATCAATGTCGGGATTTCACTAAAAGGGGAAAAATATGTAATAATAAATTATGAGTAATTGTATACTTAGATAATATTATAATTAGATAATATAATATTATTCAGTTAAATACAGCTGGAAAAAAAATGATTAGATAAATGAAGTAAAACGATTCGTTTTTATTTATTGTGATTATTTTTTTCCAATTTGAAATTTTTTATCTTTTTTTCGTTGCTATAACTCAGAATGAATCACATACAATATACAATATACATACAATATACATACAATATACATACAATATACAATATACATACATTGGATCCGATCATGATTTTTGTTATCATTTTGAACCAGCCATTTTAACTTAAATTTGATGTTTTGATTTATATGTAGCTGAACAAAAACAACAACAAAAAACAAAAAAATAGATTATTTAGTCTATGTTACCCCCGGGATGCCCCTGGGTTCTCTAAAAAAAGTCAGCGCATTTGGTCCAGCCGTTTGGCTGGCTATAAGGAACATATATACAATGTTTTGTTTTATAGATTTTCATAATTTGTTTTTAAAACTAGACAATTTAGCTTAAATATAGTACATGAATTTAATGATATCAATATATCAAAGTATCTTCATGGAAACTCAACCTATCTGACTTTGAACTCAGTTACAGTACAGACAGCCGGCCCTGCTTGTATGCATAAAACTATAAAATAATTTTTGAAACATAAAACTTAAATACAAAAGTTTCCCCAACGTGTAATATGATTTGTTAGTCCAGATTGTGCATCTACAATCTTTATCATGATGAATGATTAGCATTGACATTTTATGATATTATTAGCTTGAGAACCCATCGTTGCCCAGGTTGATCAATTAAAAAAGTGGACCCAACTTAGAATCTTGAAACCAAACTAAGAACATTCCAGTTGTTCCCCCGAGTTGCCCAATAAAAATTTGAGGCAAATCGGTCAAGAGGTTCATGAGTTATGATCGGACTATACAGAGATTACAACTTATATAATTAGATGATATAAAATAGTTTTACAAAACACAAAACTTCACTCTTGTAATAAAATAATTGTATATGCAAAATATATTTATATATCACATTTTTTCTGATAAAAATGTGATGGTGGCCATATTCTATTTTTATAATATAGTTCTTTTTAAAAGCTGGTTTAATCCAGTAAAAAAAGAACATCTTATTCTGGGCAAAGATTATGTTGGATATATAAGTGCATTGGAGTCCTGTGAACTGGAGACCCTGGAGTCAGAAGGGACAAGCTATCCCTCTCTTTTGCAAAGAAATGTATTAAATCTTCTAAACATCGTCATCTCTTCCCTGCTGCAGTTCACCCACATGAACATCAACTACGCCACCAGGAGCAGTATCATGTTAATCATGCCAGGACAGAAAAATATAGAAGATCTGCTATTCCACATATCCAGAGACTGCTGAACCGATAATCTTTTTGGTTTCATAACTATTTGATTTTATCACAATAAATCGTTATTTATTAAAAAAAAAATAAACATTTTATGAAAACATGAGATGCAGAAGGCGTCATTTCACCAATGGGGGGGCAACCCCCCCCCCCCCTCCCAAGTTAATTGAATACTTAACTAAATATTTTTGTTCATCGAGGTCAAGCTGAACTTAATAAATGCAGTTAGTCATTTTTGAAGAAAGTTTTTTTTTTTAATTTTTTAAACATACCATAATACCATGCACTCTTTCGTCAAGATTTGATTTTGTTATTGCTCAGCTATGTTTCGTGAACAGTCTATTTAATTATGATTGTGTGTGTATACAATGTTTAAGTCAATAATTACCCTTGGATATCGATCTGGTCTCGAGTTTCGGAGTACCGGTGCGAGGCTTCCAGGCGTAATTGACAGTATTGTGGGGAACGGGTATCTAGAAATGCAGGGCTCCGGCTCTTACTCTCGTAGCTTTGACCGCCAGGAGGCGCTTTATATACTGTCGTCATTCACCGCTAGGATCATCCATTCACCGGGTCCTTCTCTGCATCCGCCGGTAGGTTCAGAAAGATCGGAACTTTGGGCCACAGCCTCCGCTCTGCTCAGCAATTTTGAACCTTATAGTGGTTAGGCCGGAAGGTTCACTGTTTAGTTGCATACTCAAGTGTGAGATGGCGCTAGAGTCATAGAGGAAATTTGAAACAGAAGGAGGGACTGATTTGATTGGTTACTAAATAGGTTGTGACGTCACAGGGCCGAGGTTATATATATGACGCGGGCCGCGATTACTATTCAGTGTTTGGGCTACAACAGAACGATTAACAGTGAACTGAAGAAACAAAACAAACAATTGTGACAAACATAAATATGTCTTCATTAGGAGAAGTACAGAGAATTATTGGACTATCCTTGAATAAAATTCAGATGGGAAGAAATCAGCGAGGTGGGTTGCCATTGCATAAAAACCTACTTGTGGCAACTGTTCTAAACAAGGCTAGAGATGTGTACATGCAGGAGACAATGTACATGAACTACAGACTCATGGCCTGTGGACAGTTCAACCAGGAGGGTCAGGATGATATCGAGGAGGATGATACTCCTGAAACCGAGGATTATGAAGAGGACAGTGAGTCTGATGTTGAAGAAGATGTTGAGAACAGTGTGAAGAAGGATTATGTTGCTCAGAACCTTCTCCCTTGTCTAGCAGCAGCTGTACAACCTGCTCCTGTTCATCAACCTTCTCAGGTTCAGAATACAGAGAATATTCATCAAGCAGCTCCGGAGACATCCAACCTTAACCTGACTCAGGGTAACAGTGATGAAGGATTCATTGATGAGTCTGACTGTGATTGTGATCGAAGAAATTTCTGCCAAGACTCCGAGAACAGGGTTCCATTCCAGTATTGTTTTAATTGTGCCCCCTTCCATCCTTCTAATGGAAGAGGACCAACCCTGGTTGGACCTCAGTCCACGAATACCTGTGTTCTACCCAACTCTGTAAGCCAGGAGCAGGAGGATAAGTTGATCTACGATATGGACTCCAAGTCCACCAGGAACCAGAGTGGACAGAGTAACCTAAAGCGTAAACGTCTAATCTCTGTAGAAGAAACCGAAGATGCAATCATATCCATCCTACCGAAGAGGAAGAGGAATGAGTCTGAGAATGAGGATGGGGTTGATCTCAATGATTCTGGGTTCCAGGATGAAGCTGAGGTATTTCATGATTTTTTCTTCAAATTAATTTAGTTAATTTAAATTGTGAAATTTTGTTAATTCCTTTGTTTACGCATTTTCTGTTGAATTAACATTTATACTTTTTTCAGGAATTCCACCCGGCATTTAGAGGACATAGGAAAGCCAAGGGGATGGAGGTTGAACAAATCACCAGTCTTGTCTCAATATTCTCATTCGGACAACAACTATTTAACTCCCAGGACTCATCTACTCCAACCCAACCTAAACCAAAGAAGGGAAAAGAGGACGAGGATAGTGACAGTGATAGTGACACGAGCAGTGACAGCGGACACTCAAGTGATGATCATGAGATTAACTCTGATGAGAAGGGGGAGGAGCGGGGGGACGAATTGCAATTAATTCCTGAGCTATCAAACAGGATTACTAATTCAGAGCTTCGCTGCTCGCCTAAGGACGCAGATTTGGATGTTTCCAATGTGGGAGTAACTACAGCGGTTTGAAGAACTGCTTTAACTCTAAATAATGCTTGTGATATTTTGCAAATCTACTGATATGTACTTGCCAGCATCTGGTATGCCCTACAGTATATAGTACCTGTTTGCCTTCTCACAGAATCCAAATGTTCAAAATTTCGGCTCAAAGCAGATTACTGCTCTAAAAATTATCCCCCTTGGAATGGTGAGGGGTGGAATCAAGGCCCCCCAAGCCTGAAGAAAGAATCTGAACCTGCCAGTCCGCCCCGGCGCGGTCCGACCTTCCAGTTAGATGTGGGAATTCAAGTGATTTCCTTTATGGAGTGACGCCACGCAGTATGAATAGATGTACCTACCTCCTCCCCCCCCCCTCCCTCGCCACCCGTCCTGCCTCGAGAGTTTAGGGGTAACCCACCAAGATTGTGAGTGTGCGGACTAGAGGGAGTTTATTGTCCCGTCCCGGTGTAGGTTTGCCTGCTCCCGTCTCCAGCCAAATACAATTATTCAGACAACAGAGATCTAAAGAGAGAGAGAGTAAAGCAAACCTGATAAAATGTACCGACACTGCAGGGGCAGGCGGAGTAGGACGGATGAGAAGGAGGTTCAATCCTGGAGAAAGATTAGAACGTGCAGCTCGGATGAAATTAAAGATCCTTGAAACAAATATTGTCATTAAAAGACAGAATAAATATTTTACCTATTAATTCTTTACATTTTTCAGTAATAATGTTTTGTTATCAACTTGTTAATGTTTGTTGTTTAAAGATAAGTCCCATGTTTATATAATGACTGTGTGTTGTGTGTTTGAGTAAGATACTGTTGGAGGATGAATTTGTAAATATCTGTTCACAGCTCAACCCTGTGTAAACCTTGTAACCTTGAGCTAAGAGACTAAATACCGAAGGGTTTATGGTATGCTGAGAAATTGGACTAAAAATTATGTTGCCCACACATGTTAGGTTAACAGGATTTAGATATTAGGTTTTCCTATGAAAGGCTAGATATTAATATGAAAGGCTAGATGTTAATATGAAAGGTACTTGAAGAGAAACAAAAAGGAAAAAAATTTGAAAGTATTTTCTAATCTAATTTCAATCTTGGTACACGAAGAATTGAGTCATGAAAAATTTATAGAAAAATTCAAAATGAATTTGAAGAGTATTAAAAAAAGTATTTAAACAAAGATTTTGTATTTCTTAAAGCATAGGCGTTAAATGCCTAAGATCTACCTGAGTTTTTGTAAATTTTTCAATTTTAAAACATTCTTGTAAACTAAATTCTGAAGAAAAAAATATCTGTAAAATTCTTTTTTAAGAAGAAAACAAAGTAGATTATTTTTAAACTAATTATAATAGTTGCATACTTTAGGAAACAAAATTAATACTTAGTGTTTTAAGGGCGCAAAATCATATTGTTCACTCCATTTTGGGTTAACTTCTATCGTATTTAAAGTTCTATGGGATCATGTTTTTGAGTAAACTTCCTGCTGTGTTTATAGAACAAAACCTGCGATCGCGATTTATAAATAACTTGGGTATCCGAGGAACCCGAGTGGACATTATAAAATGGTTTTCTTCAATTAACAAATGTTTGCGCTGAGCATTTCCTAGGCTAAATCTAATGCAGATGGCCGATTTTGATCTTTAAAAGTTACAGGTCGAGAATTAAGTCTCAGTTCTTTGTGGGTTATCCCGTATACACACAGAGGAAGATATATCTCCGCTCTGTGTGAATATCCCATACTGGAGTATTCCGGTTCTCTTCCAGAATTCAGAGACTAAAGTTTGGGTGTTCAGTTTCAATATTTTCTTTTATATTTAAATTCCATCGATTGTTTTTCGGCATTGATCACAAACTTTTGGTTGTCAATGAGAAGACGTTTAAAGAAATTGAGGCTTTGCAACAAAATCAAGTTTTCTAATCTCTATATCTTTGCAACCTTCTGGTGTAAATCTTTTATGTTTCAAACTTAGATTATTTGATCAAACAAAATACATAGTTTGAAATATCTATGGTCTACGACATTAGTTTGCAAAGATATAGGGATTATTAAATCAGAGTTTGTGGCAAAGACTCAATTTCTTAGTGATAAAATAAACGACTTTAACCGCTTATTGACCCCTTAGTTTCTTCTCTTAGAATATGTTTTGTCAATTATCGTGAGGTTTTCCTAATAGTAATTCTAGGAGCTAAGCTTGTTAAAAAAAAACATGCTGACTTACAAGTTTCCCCATTTAACGGAGCGACTAATGCACTGTGTGATATGAGGTTTTAACATCTCATTTCAAGGATTTTCACTGCACATTCTATTACAGTTAAAGGGACTGTTCGAGTAATTTCAAGTGGTCCTTCATGCCCGATTCACAACGATACCCTTAAAAGCTTTGTCTGATGAATTGTACATATCTATGTTTATAATTTAGAAAACAGATTATTTTCCATTGTGGTTTCTCTACAAGAGTTACTTGCACATTTCTACTGCAAGAAAAGGTATTGGAATTATCAGAAATAGACACTTTTGAACCTAGCCAGTATCTTCCACATTATTGATCAGATACAGGTTTCAAGGGTACCGTTGTTAATCGGACATTGCCATCTTTGCATGTATGGCCACTTTTACAGTTCCTTTTTGGTTCTCAGATCTGGCAAAGAAACTGAGTTCTCGCCTCAAAACCTAAATTTTTATCTTTGCTATCGGATAGCATGCAAACCAATGATATTTCAAATTTTTCAATATTTGATCATTCATGGTTAATAATGTTGTGTTGTCTATTGTCTAATTTTAGATAAATCAATAAAACTAAGATTTTTTTTACATTATGAGGCAGATATCAAAAAGAGATGAACAAATTCGTATATATATAAATATATTCCTGTATCTAAACATATATAATATGTAGAATAGATAGATATATTATTTTTAAACTTCACATTTTATTAAAAAGAATTATACTAAACATAATGTTTCACGCCTCATGACGATCCTCAGTAGTCAAATTCTTTGAACAGCAATATATATATATATAACCATATAGATATATACAATCAATATTTTTCAATTATTCATTAATATATAGCAAAAAGTTCAAATATCATTTAACTAAGTTGATAAGGGGAGGGGGAGGGGGACTCAACACATTGTTTTGTTACACGCACCTCTGCCCCTTTAGTAAAAGTAAATTCAACCTATATGAAGAATAAAGTCTGACGCGTCACCCTTGTTGCACCAGCTAGTCCTGTCCATAGACCTAGGTACGGTAAAAACTGGGACCGGAAAGGTTGACCCGGCTCGGAAATTCAAATGTACTCCTGCTGCCCGTGGTTATCATCCTTTTTAAATTACGAAGATGCAATATTTGCCTATAGTTAGTCATGACTAAATATTATATGTATGTTATTTATCATTTATGATTTCTGAAGAATATTCAACAGAGAGATTTATATTTCAAAGAATTACTGTGTGAGTAATTAATTTTATTGTTTCAGCTCACGTGAAAGCATAAATGATACATTCGAAATTTTATCGGAGTATTTTCATTCTGGTTTTTGCAGACCATTCATTCAAAAACCGCCAAAAATAACGGCAGAGACCTTATATACTGAAAATACAAATTCCAACAAAAAGATGTAAAATACTTTATACGAAAAATCTACATTTAAAAGGAAAAATTAGTTCTAAAGTTTGGCATGGCCGGACATCGGCTCATCCGATCTATCGATATTCGTGCTGATATCCGATCTATCGATATTCGTGCTGAAATTAGTTAATTGTTTTGAGCTATGGAACCGATATGATAATTAAATATTTCTTTAAAAACAATCACAATTTTATTTAAAAGGCCACGTCAATCTTAAACTGAGTTGAATGTAGGATTACATGGCTTAACCATAACCTCCTCTTTTTAAAGAACAAATTAAAATTTTTAATTTCTCTTTTAACTTACCTGTGCTTAAAATCCAAACTAGATAAGTCACGAGGTCTCAAAGTTGAACCAGTATTGTCGCCATAAAATTCAGTTTTTCCCTCTGCCTAGTTCAAGGTATATCGTCTAGATCGGTTAGAAAGCATATCAAGTCAGTCAGGCTTTTCAATCCATTTTTCCTGTTAAATGTAAATTTTTCTTATTTTATACTTTTTGTGCGCCATTTCCATGGTACTTCAGTGCAGATCTAAATAACCCTGAATACTATTAATTGATTGAAGACTTGAAAGGCGTCTTTGATCTGAGAAAAAGTTTGCGGCATTTTTATAAGCAACCTTAATTTTAACAATATTTTGTTATCAAACAATAATCAGAAAATAGCCCTAAAGTCATTTTGTCTGCCGTTTTTTGCGTTTAAAAATACCATAGAATTTTGTTTAAATGTCAGTTTTATTAAATTTGAGTTTGTGGCAAAAACTTGATTCCAAATTTGCATAAGTAAAATTATAGATATTATTATTCCTAGTTTAATATAATTGTTCACAAAAATTCTTTTTTACTCTTGCTCTTAGGATAAATATTTTTACTTCTCTCAAGTCACTTTAATATATAACTTATATGTAGCTATAAATATAATAACATAAATATACGCCGTTATGAAAAATAAGAAAAACATTGACCGGATCTCATATATTTATCCGTTCTTTACTTTTTTGTGACCTTCAATCAGAAAATATGATTTTTTACTAAATATTTACTCCACAGTTGATATAAAATCAAAACCTGATTTCCTGCTTTCATGTGCAATTAATTTAACACATTTTTCAATGATATTTCAACATTTCAGGATGAGTGCATTTCTCAGACCTGGGCCCGATATTCTCCGTTCCTCACGCAGGATTTAAACAAGATTTGTTCGATGAAGGAATTTTGAAAAAATTTGACAAATTTCTTGTCAGAATTTTAGTTTCGGGGGAAAGGAGACGATTGATAATTTAGTTTATGTTTATTTAGGAAACATGATTCAAACTTTTCCTTTTAATATCTTTATTATGTCCGAATGATGGTTGGAGATGCATTAGTAATTAAGTTCTATGGATAGATATATGGTTATCAATAAGCAGGTTTAAAGATTTGATCGTGGATAGCTATAGGTTGGGGGTAGATACACTCAGCAAATGTACTCAACACTTCAAATATTTGGGATTTATGATATAAAAAGAAATCTTATAAAAACAATTAAAACAAACTTAATCTAAGTTAAACTATAGGAATAAATTGTTAAACAGTGGTGTACGCAGCGTACATAAATATTGAGAGATTCCTGGTGGAAATATTTCTTGCATACGCTATGATTTCTAATGATGGAAACCGAACCTAAACCAGTTGAGGTTTGATTTCGGAGAATTTGTATTGATTTCGTAGATTTTTCAATGATTATGTTGGTGTGTGGTTAAACCTAACTTTCAGCTTTCTCAACCCGAACTTGACAACAATCAATTTATTAATTCTAATCCAGCATAAACCCGCAATATTACTCAGGATACTTGGATACTAAACCCGCAATATTACTCAGGATACTTGGATACTAAACCCGCAATATTACTCAGGATACTTGGATACTAAACCTGCAATATTACTCAGGATACTTGGATACTAAACCCGCAATATTAATCAGGATATTTGGATAATAAACCTGCAATATAACTCAGGATACTTTGATACTAAACTTACTCCAGCCCAAAATGTATCAAGCCTTTTAAATAGAGTAACCACAAGAG